CATATGTACATACAGATAGATGGTGTACTCTCTGAGCGAACATATTAGTTATCCACAGGATATTTCAATAATTCTATGGCTGCCAGTTTCAACATTTGTTTACTTCAATATGTTGTCTGCAAGTGAAACACTTTTGGTATAATATAATATGTATGAATCAGATCTAATTTCTAATCCACGAACCATATGAAATTGTCATCCTTCTCATTTTGACAATATCAAAGGATGTAATCCTTTAAATGTTATTGCAGTGATGATTCATTCTATAAGATTGCTAGCATTTGTAGTTCTTATTCAAGCTGCATTGAGTGTACTTGCTCTCTCTAAAGAACTTCCTCCAATACCTAATCGAATTCTACTTCTATAGTTTGGAAATTCATACCTTTTAATTACACTCTTTGAAGCACTTATTCACTACATATCTTTAGTTCCCTACCAACTTTAGTCATCCTTATGAGCGTCAACCTGCTTCTATTATTAAGCTAGATGTGAATAAACCTGATGAGTTACTCAATAGGCCTATCACAACAAGTGTATGTGGGGCTTATGTTACACATCATGAATATATCCAAGTAGACAAGGGTTGTGATCCAAAGGGCATGTCTTTCAAGATCCAAAATTTGTAGTTGCTTGTAAAATCTGAAACTCACAAATGTACTTGATAGATGTAATAAAAGGCTAAATGGCCAGCTTTAAAGTTAACTTTTCTGTGTTGATATTTCGTCTTGAACTTTGAAATTTCGTTAGACTTCTCTTGTGTGTTTGTTCCACTAGATTGTGCTCCCAACAATCTATTTGATGCCATCGATTATATATCTGAAGATATATATACGAAGAACACAAGAATCTACAAGAAATATTCTTAAATAAACTTGAATACAAGTTACATACACACACATACATATTCGACAGCTTACATATACATATATATATAGACACCAAGCGACACCTACCAACCATTGTGATGGTTCAGTTGAATAACCACCAAATCGGTTATGAAACTGCCTTAAAGTGTTGATGTGTCACATGACACAATTATTTAATTACACATAATACAAACTAGTAATATACTAATTAATAAAACGTTAAATGACATTTAAAACCAATACTCCCCCTAAATGTCGACACATTTTATTGATGCTTGTCCAGACTTCGAGCTTCATACAATGATGACAAATTCATCATCTTCTTCAGTGCTATCATTGGTGCCCTCTCGTCCATTTGAGTTGTATTCTACAATGCTAAGATCTTTTTCTTGACTTATTTCAACACCTTGAGTCTTGCATGCCTTGGTTTGATTGGTTGCCTGAGTTCCTGCAGTGTTCAGATCTTCCTGATCCCTGCTTCTGGTTACACCACCAACTGAGCTTCCACTGTGACTCTGAATCCTGTTGGTTAAACCACCAACTTCTTGATCCTCTATGCTTGGCAACTTGCCAAACCTTTTTTGTGCAAAGTCAAAGTATTCTTGAGGGTATAGCAAGTAGTCTTCAAAGAATTTGTTGAATGCTTGATCATAGCTTTCTGGAACCCAAAACTCATCGCGATTTTCTTCCATCCTCTTTCTCTTGAAATCTTTTCGTGTCCACATGATCCAACGATTAATTTGTACAGATCAAATAAGCAAATTTTCATACCTGCCAACTTGGGAGGGAGTGTGAGTTCTTCACCACTCTTGACATTGTGGAACCAACCAATTGCGTCTTCAAATTTCTTCTTGAACAAACCTTTGTTCTTGTAACAGATTTGATCGCAATTTGCCAAAACAATGAAGGAAGTGAAATCGCGAGGGTTTCTATGATCAGAGGTACCGATTTCCCATTGATTTCAAGTTTATCATTGATCGTGTTCGTACTTGCTTCATGCTCGTGTGTCTTCTTCAATTCTGGACGATTTTCTCCAATGATCTTTGAGTCATAATTAATAGACTTGTTTTGAGCATCTCCTTCGTTTTTTCGGTCATCACACATATGTGTGATCTTGCACTTCAAGTCTCTGACTTCAATCTCAAATCCTTGAAGTATCAATTGTTTCGTACTCAACACATTGATGTTGATTTAGGGTACATATGAAACATAGGGGACAACATATATATTCTCATCAGTAGTTAAATTAATCTCTCCAACACCATGTATGAAAAGTGGATTAAGAAGATGTTCTTCATTATTGATTGAAAAACATTTCTTAATTTTGACAAATATGTCTTTGGAGGGCGTCATGTGTTTAGAGATTTTAGAATTAACATACCAGATGGAGTTCTAGGAATCTGTGTTGGTTCCTTCGACCAAGTAATCCCCATTTATGATAGTTCTTTCAACATGTGTTTGATTATATGGCTATAGTGGATCGAACGTACGATCAGATTGATCACGGGGCTTAGAAACAGGATCAAGTTTCTCTTGTACAGATTGTTTTTCAGGCAATCGATCTCCTCTCTTTGGACAATCCCACTCAAAATGACCCTTGTCATTGCACTGGTAACATGTCGGTTTCAGGACTCTTTTCTCGTTGATCTCACCACCGTTGCTCCAATCTCGAAGGAGATTTGCGAGTTCCATACTTCTTCTATTACCTTGTAGATTTCTGATTCGAGTATTATGAAGCCTTCGAACAAATCCCGAAGTTCTTCCCATTCAATTTCTTCTTCGGCTCTGATACCACTGTTGATATTTCGTCTTGAACTTCGAAATTTCGTTAGACTTCTCTTGTGTGTTTGTTCCACTAGATTGTCCTCTCAACAATCTATTTGATGCCATCGATTATATATATGAAGATATATATACGAAGAACACAAGAATCTACAAGAAATATTCTTAAATAAACTTGAATACAAGTTACATACACACACAAACATATTCGACAGCCTACATATACATATATATATATATATATATATAGACACCAAGCGACACCTACCAACCATTGTGACGGTTTAGTTGAATAACCACCAAATCGGTTATGAAACTGCCTTAAAGTGCTGATGTGTCACATGACACAATTATTTAATTACACATAATATAAACTAGTAATATACTAATTAATAAAACGTTAAATGACATTTAAAACCGATATTCTGCAGTCCACATATGCTTAATTCTGTTCAAATCTGATATATGTTCCTTTTAGCAGCAAAGTTGTTCCTATGGTGCTCCTTATATGGAAGATTTGGTTATCAAGTTGACTGAACTTAATTTATTTCACTAACGTCCATGTGGTTGCACCCTGCACTGTTAGTAATGTATAGTTGAATTTACAATATAGAAGTCCATTTCCATAAGAAGGGGGGGTGTGAAACGGCTTGCTCAACCATCAAAATCCCTGACTTAACTGTAATATTAAATGAAGTACGCCGTTAAAGAACTTAGCATTCCTTGTTGACACCAGGTGTAAAGAAAGGATCCTCATGGAGCTCGGAGCATAATCCATTAAGCCTTCCTTTTGGACTGGTAACTTAATGTTCACCAATATTCATGATTCATTCCTATTAGTTTCATAAAACTTTTCATTCCTTGCTACATGGCTGATTCACACTCAACACATCCTAAAACTTCTCTACGAGAACAAAGCTTTGGTCCTTATCTGCAGCCTTGTTATGGCCCTGACTTGACTAAGCATCTCCTCACCAAGGATGGTCTGTTACTGAATGTTGTTGAAAGGAAATTGTGGAGTGCTTTAAATGCTGAAGTTCTAATTCAGGTTAGAAACCGTTCCTTGAAAAGTTTGTTATTTTTCATTAATATCACATACGTATATTATGTCAAAGAACCATCCAATTGGTTCTTACTTCTTGGATATCACTACACAGGCTGCTTTCGTATGATAAGAACTTAGGTGGATAGCTAGTTTTAGTCTTCCCCATGATTTTAAGCCTTTTCTTTGCAATTCTTTGTGTTCCCGTGTTTGGTTAATTTAACCTATTTCTCTTACATCTATTCATGCGGTATTTGAGAACAGCCAGCAAACAACATGAGTGTTTAGTTTTTTAACCTGTTTCATCCAAAATGTTTTTGAAGATTTTCAATCCTTCAAACAGTTCAGATGTTTTTCTCTTGTGCAGCGCCACATAAGATCAATCGGGAATTCTATAACTTTTAGGGATCTCTCAACATGACTATTTACTTGTTAATTGTTTGCATCTTAATGCCAAAAAAGTTGATTTCCATTCCTGCTCTTTATATGGTATGCCTTCATACAACAAGCTCTACATCACCTTCCTCCCCAATTTACTAAATGGTAGTTGATTATTGTTATGCAATCAAAATTTAATGTTTTGTCCTCTAACTTCAACCGTCTTTTTTGTTAATTACATGATCAATTTTGATGGAGTTATTTTGTTGTATATACCAGGCTAGCGCAATTATCTTATGCCCATTTGTCTCTGTAACCCTTCAGTTAAAACTCTTTTCAGAGAAGTTAATATCTACAAACGTAGTTTTTTTACATCTCAAGAACTTCCCTTAGGTTTATTTAACAAAAAGAAGTTGGCGTTTTAGCGGTCAAGTAACTTCTAACCAATATTCTCTGGCTTCCTCCTTAATCAGGCTTAGGGCCTAAGTCCAACCAATCTTGGTCATAACCAGGCTTTCGTAAAGACATTAGGACCAAAATAGGCTTTCATAACCAGTCATCCAGTCGTAAATTTAAGATTTTATTTGTTAGCGATGACTTGTACCCATTTTTCGTTCTCTGTTTAGTTTAATGTGTTGCATCCACGACAACACGCTGGTACACTACTATATATATATATATATACACACACACACATGTGTGTGTGTTTCAATAAGTGAAAGTGGTGACTTCGGCCCTAGTGTAACAGATTTCATATATATGCTATTGAACTTGTTATCTTGCCGGTTGATGTAGCTTTAAATATGGGCCATTGTCACTGCTTGGTATATGAAAATTACACTTTGGATGTCTAAAGGATAGGCTAGCCTTGAAAGGAGTTTGTGGTTGGTTTTTTCTGATTATCTCACATCACAAAGAAGATATTATTTTCTTTAAGAGAAAACTTGAAGTTGTTTTGATGTTGGTAAGTTGTCACCGTCTAGATGGCACTTCTCAAGCATGCCAGTTTCCTGTACATTTATGAGATGACGGAGATAAAAGAGGCATGTATTATTATTTAATAAGTTCTACTTATACTTAATCAACTTGTAATCTTGAACTTTAAATAATATATATCAATAAGTGATACTTGATACATAAAAAATAGTATTTAAAAGTTTACCATCAATAATTTATAATATAGTATAAATTGTTCTTTTCAATCTATGTTTAAAATATAGGTTCATTGATGAAACTACAAACGTTTCATCTTTATACGATGTATTCTATTAAATGATGAACATGAAGTTATGAACATGTGGTTTTCGTTTAGAGTAACTTTTGAACCCAATGAAAGTTACTTAATTAGCTACTTTAAAGTTAATCATTTTGGGTGGTAATGGATTATAATGTATTTTAACAAGTGATGATGAAATATAATGAGTTTGAAATTGGTCATATTAGAAGATAGAATGGATTACATTATTGGTGGTCCGTGCGATTTTCTTAAAATTTGGATTTGGTTTAATAAATTATCTATATTGATATTTCCTTACTTTTCAATTTTATAACGTTCAAGATCTTTAAAATTAGCATAGTCAGTTAATAATCATTATGAGAGACTAATCAATTTTTAGACAAACTATAATAACAAAAATGTAATCGCTTTAAAATTTAGTATGATTTTAAGTCTATATAATTCTTTTATTAAAAAATGTTTTATATATCTAATTACAAATTAAATTACATACTAAGTAAAAAAATTATGTTAATTAAAAAACTATTATATTTTGAGAAATGACTTTTGTGTTAGAAAATCTTAAGTTTAGATAAACACAGAATATAAGATAAATTTTGCATATCTTTTGGATTTGACATTTAAATATATAAGTAAAATATTGAAAATTAAGTACAATTAATGTGAGATTATTAATATATAGTCAAACTATAAATACTTAAAATAATAATATTGTTATAAAAATTATAGATTAAGATTAAAAACACTGGTTATTCAAACAATTAAGAAAAACTATTGTGTAACCCTTCAAGAATAAGAGTAATTATGTGGGCAACCAAAAAATCAAGAACTTTCTAATTTATGAGATCCAATTTAAATCAGAAACAATTAGTTTTAGAAAACCTAGTATACACTAAAATTTTATCCTTCCCTCTCCTCCCTTCTATTTTTTTTCTCTCATATCTCCTCTCTATCTCTCCATAACATAGGCACACATACATAATTGAATATGAACATATTGTGAACACAAACTAAATTATAAAACTAAATCTAAACAAAAAAACTTGTGAACACAATGTGAACCTTGTGAACCCTTAGTAAAAAAAATTAAGGTTGTTTACATTGTGTTCATAATGTGTTTACCTTGTGTACATGACGTGTATGTTAATACGGACATAGGAGAGAGAAGAGTGAGATCGAGTAAATAAGATTTTTTATTTAAATAAATAATGATAATTTTCTCTTTAACTATCTAATTAATAACATTAATTATCTTAAATTAGTGGCTTATGATGGATTTCACGGATCTCACGTATCTTGGAATCAATTCCCGTAATAAATGAAATTCATCGGGTAGGCGTGAGATTAAAAGTGATCAATGGTCTTGATTCTTTCTTATGCTTCTCGTCTTAACTCATATTCTCACATGATATATATATATATATATATATATATATATATATATGGTTGGTTGGTTGCTTGGGTTTACGTGGGACCAAATTGTTTTCGTGAGACAATGTTTTTACACTTGAAACTTCACAACAAAATATTGTGAAGTTAAAAAAAAATCGAACCTTCCCAGAAAAAACACGATGATAGTTTATATGGTGGTTTACATTTACAATCACAGTAGAAGGTAAGTATTATTGAATGACACCTTCACTAATATTTCTCACACTTCCACCACCAACAATCTCTTCTCCTTTTTCTAACGACGTCATAGGGTAAGAGAAATCATTACAATAAAATTAGGTTTTTAGAACGTCAAAAATTTTGAAGTGTTTTAATCTGCTTTATAAGACTTAGTTTATAAGATCAAAAAATAAAGCATGTTATCTAAAGGAACTGTAACAAGTTTATAGGACGCTTTTGCGTATGCATCTTAACAAGTTTTTAGGACGCTTTTAATACAAAACATCACATTAGCAATTTTATAGGACATTATTTGAAAGAGTGTCCTATGAAAACAAGTGTCTTATAAAAAGTAAAACAAGTGTCTTATAAAAAGATGTGTTTATAGGAAACTTTCTCATAAGTATCCTAAAAAATTGATAATACGACATTTGGTATTTAAAATATCTATAAAATTGCTAATACGACGTTTTGTATTAAAATTGTCCTATAACTTGTTAATACGCCTAAAAGCGTCGTATAAACTTATTACCATGTCTTTGGATATGACACTTTATTTTTTAGTCCTATAACTCAAGTCTCATAAAGCTGTCTATCAAGTCTTTTAGGACACTTAGGAATTGATAGTGTTCTATAAAACCAATTTTGTTGTAGTGATTAGATTGTCATGTTCTAAAATTTTTATGGTTCCATTTGAAGTATAATACAGAGATGCTGCTTTTGCAGTTGAAAATTTCTGTTAAAAAAGTAGTAAAATAACTTGTTTTGTGGTCTCTTAGAAATGAAACAAGCTAAAATTGTGAGGTGCCATAATATTTTAGTACATGTTACAGTATGATTTAATTTGGGACAAAATGATTATTTAAGATGATCTTATAAAAAAGATTATAATGTCACACATTAATTTCCATATTGTCCCTTTATTATCATGGTCCTTCCATTCTTGTATTTCTTATTCTTTATTTGGTCTATCATTTAACTTTTGATCTATTCCATTTATTTAGGGTAAATGGTGTGGAAGCAAACTGTTGTTATGGATCAATAGAAAAACAAGAACATCACCTATTAATATTATATTGTAGTCGATTCAAAATGCATATATTATACAACACGTATAAATACTAGATAATTTCATCTTGAAACCGCAAGCATCTTCTGAGTTGTTTTTTAAAACCAAGCTATGTATGAAATAATTCAGATTACTACCTAATATCAACTATTATTTTTGGTGATTCTCCAATTAATAAATATGACTCTTGAAGATTGTTATTTATTGTATTTTACGTTTCTTGATTCGATGTTGAATCTTGTAAAGCCAATTTTGTTGTCACCCTTGGTTTGGTTATTGCTTAAGGCTTAGACTATATAACACTCGCCGCTCAAAGATGTTTTGACATTTAAACAATGATACAACTATCACTACACAAAATGTTGTCTTAGACAACAAATGTAAATTGTCTATGTTGCTTAAGATACGCTAAGACAACAAAGACTATTATATGTTACCACTACAAGAAGAAGGAGCTTTAGAGAAGAAATATTCAGAGAAGCTTTTAGAAGTGTATCTAAAGCTCTATTATTGAGAAGAATTTAAATGACAAAAATGAAAAATGTAACTAAAGGTTGGACGACATTTAAAGAAGGATTTATAGGCTAATTATACGGTGTAAGAAATGTCATTAAAAGTTTTAGAGAAGCTTTTTATAAAAAATGTCTCTAAAAAATTGCATCAATTTTTAGGAACATTTTTTTAAGCTTCTCTAAAAATTAATAAAAAATTAAGATTTTTAAAATTAAATAAAATTGTTTACTTACCCTTGGGAATGTATCTAAAAGATTTCTATTAAAAAATAAATTAAAATTAAATAAAAAATATATGATTTAAAAGATTTTTTTTAAAAATAAATCAAAATTAAATAATAAATAATAAGTGTTTAGTTAATCTTCTCTTCTCTCTTCTCGTCGCCAACGGGAATGTGATGTAAAGCTCGAATCATAGATCGGAGCTCACGCCCTCAAATGGCTTAATTAGAGATCGTTGCCTCCGCTCAATCATAGATCAAGGCCTAACAACATTTCCATCAACCAGATTCGATAGTAAGTTTGTATGGTTTTCGTTTTTCTTTGTTGTAAATTGCAATAAGAAATTGATTTAKATGTGGTTTTTGTGTTTGTATCTTGATGATTGTGTCAAGGATTACATCGCGGAAGCTATTTGTGCAGTATGTTGAGATTAATTTAGTTATCTTTATGGTTTTRTGGTATGCGTTGAAATTGMAMACCWAAAATTGTTCTTAGCTTAATCATAGTAGCAACCATTAGTTCCAGTTACATTTGTGTTAATTGATAGTGGTGTAGGAGTGCATAGTCTAACTTAAACAACCGGCATTCAATTGTTACTTAGTTTTGGTGTTTGTTTGATGTTAATACAATTAGCTAATCATATCTATGTCTATCTATACTTGAGAGTATCATATCTCCTCTGTATGTCTATGTACTTGAGCACAATTAATGTTCTCGGGCTTATTTCTTAGCCTGTGTTCAACACATTTGTGTTGCTGAACAATGTCCAGGGAACTGCTCTTGTGGGCTGGGGGGGGTTGAATTGTTCGAACATCAATCATCAATCAATTGTATGTTCAATATAGATTTTGGATAGTTGGCAATATTTATATCAAGATTTGTTACTAAAAAGAGTATTCAAATGCAGTACTGCTCAAACCAACAGTGAAGTTAAATCAAGAATAGAGGCTAATTTAAAAAGGAAGGAAATGAAACATACTCTTAGCCCAATAGAAGTTGCTCCAGGAATTACTTCACTTCCAAAATCATTTGCTCCAGGGAACTTATCTTCATATATACCCATACTAGCAATATAAGGCATCTCTTTAGCTCTTTGTTCGTCAAGGCCTAAAATTGTGGTATCAACCTTCATAGCTTTCAGTTTTTCTCCTTTTGGTTTCTCTGCAAATTCAATTGTACGCCCTTCTTCATCGATCTTCATTACACCAAATGCAGTGGCACGTTTTTCATCCATTGGAAGAGCTGCTACAATAATACCAGCATCGGTTTCTCTGTGAGCTTGAATAAATCTTTCATAATCCATACGGTATAAATGATTTCCGGCAAGGATTAGGAACTCTAGAACATTATGCTCTTCAAACAGCCACAAATACTGTCTTACTGCATCAGCAGTACCCTGCAACCAGGAGATTAGAAGGTATATAAGATAGGTCTGCAGAGGAATTATTAATTACGGGTAAAGAACAATGGCTTGGTCATGAGTCGGCTTCACTTTTTGCTTTGTTTTGGGTGGATTTGATTCAACAAAAGCATGCAGAAAGTTTATGTGCATCTGTAGAAGGATGCATCCACATTGCAAAAGTAAGAAGCTTGCAGGCACTGCTTATATATACACCAACACATGCATCTGTTTGATGTCACTTTTCTTTTAGCTTTCCATATATATTTATGGAATTATATATATTTTTGCCCTCTCGTGTTTATAATTTCTTGCGTTCTTGATGGAGTTTGTTGTAAAAATAGACCAAATTTGAAGAATGATATGATCAACTTTTCTTTGATACACTGTTGATTAATCTGGTTACTGTTAATGTGGCAGGTACTGCATATGCGAGATGCCTTATAATCCTGATGACTTAATGACTCAGTGTGATGGCTGCCATGACTGGTAGGTCGCCAAACATTATTTATGGCATTACTTTTAATTTCCCTTCTTATGCTTCTTTTATAAATTATAAGATAATTTAATTTTTTTGGGTTTACAAAGTAGTGTTATTGATATATGCAGTCTATTGTATCACTTCGGATGATACCATGACACACACACACACACACACACATATATATATATATATGCTCCTACTATGCTTTTGTTAGAGATATACTATGTGGTTGTGTATGAAAACTTTCATGACCAGTTCAAAATAATGTAACTGATTGCTGAATGCAATAATCAGGTATTTGTCACTAGTCTCATGGTATACTTGCTTGGCATACTTAGGGGTCCTTGTCTGTAACAAATACAATAGAATTAAACAAAAGGAAGCATTAAAATGATGGTGAGCATTAAAATGTTTCTAGAAGGAAGCATCACTTCTAGAAACATCAGATGAAGATGAAGTATTTGACACCAAAATGTCAACATTTATTGGATCCTTGCCAAAATGAGTTGGGATATGGGAGGCACAAGGTTTGCTTCTCTTATGACTACTGTTTTGCCGAACATTATACTTGGATCCTTGTACATTTATTAGCCTGTTCACTATCACCCACTGATTGAACTCCTAATATGCTCTCCAAGCTTCTACTTTTCAGTTTACTCTGCAAGTAAGCTCATTTTAGTTTCTAAACTCTCCCAGCCTCTTGGTTCAGGTTTCATCCTTCTTGTATAGACATGACAGTGGAGGAGGCTACACAAATGGAGCACTTCCTATGCCAGAGTTGTTTGTCATGAAGGTAATTTCTTCTCTCTTGATACAGAAAGGTTTTCCATTTATCCATCACTTGGCATACCAAATATTCTCCCTTGTGCAGGACACATGTGTACCATGTTTTGAAGAATGATATATGTTGGTGTCTCCATCTTCAACTTCTCCATTTTTACACAGATAGTAGCTCTGCAACAGCCCTGTGTGTGCATTAGAGGTGCTCAAATTACCAGCCAACCTAACCCGAAACCCCCAAAAAAAAACTCCCGAGGTGACCCGACATATAGTTGATACAAAAGTAGACCTGTTAGGATCAAGCGCTTACCCACTACACCAACCTCTAAGCACAAGTCAAAGTCAAACCTGCCTAAGAAAAGTCAAACACGATGACTTTTACAATTATAGACAATATTTAACTTTGTTAAACTCCATTATGCAAAATGTAAAAAGTAATGAAAAACAATAAGTGATGAAGAACCAGAAGACCGATGAAGAGATCAAGG